GTCCACTCAGCACAGTTGCATTATAAACTATAGGCGAGCCAAATCTCTCGCACACAGTAGACAGGTGTACTTTGAAAAAACGAGATCAGCTGACCATTATATATATAATAAAGAAAAAAAAAAAGGTAAGACCAATTTTATCTTTCACAATAAAAAAAACAAAAAACAGCCAACCAGTTTCAACCTCAACAGAACTGGAATTGAGGGAATAAGTATCACAATATAACAAAAATATAAAAGACATTTAAATCCTTATCTTCTATCGTCTTGAACCTCATTCAAGCCTTTATCCTTTCCTTGGTCCTCTCTACACCTAGTCTTTTCTCTCACCTTCACTCCCTGCGTACTAGTGGCATTCCCACCTTGCCTGAAGTGAAATGATTAAAAAAAAAAAAAAAAGTTTTAAGGTATGCTATATTTATGGGTTAAAGTGCTCAATATGAGGAATAGAGTGTGTTTAAATATAAAAGTGAACATTGAAGTCAGCACCCAGAGGTAACAGGCTGTTTTATGCTAAACACAATCATCAGGCCTGTTACAGACTGTTGCCTCTGAGTGTTAACTTCAATGTCCACTGTATACGCACCACAGCTGTTTGAGGTTTCCTACAGACCCACTGAACTTAAATAAAGTCAATTCAGGTTTCCTATGGTAAAAATTTTCTTTCCCAAGTGAAAATCATCACAAAAATAGCAAAAGTCATTTTGTCACAGCTTATTTTCTCTCAAAATATGGGTTTTCATACTTTTTTAGGGGTAAAATATTGAAAAATGACTGTTTTATCATCACCTAAACGAATATCAAGGAAACTTTTGATCTGAACCCCATGAAACTAGGTATTTTCTGAAAGCAAAAGATATATTCTTTCATTTAAAAGTAAAATTAGCTGGTGTAAATGACTCAAAAATTTTTTCAGTGGGTAAAATGTGAAAAAATAGTGAAAATTTTGCATTTTTTTCTTGTTCTAAACAAATATTTCCCCCATTAATGGGAAATTAACCATTTTTTTTTTTTTTTTTGAAAATCAGAAAGCCTAGATCATAATCAAACTATTTCAGGCATAAAATTGAGAGTTTTGAAGGAAATCAACATTCCTAGGGGTTCAAAAAAATGACAAAATCCATTGTTAATTTTCAATTATGACTGCCAAGGGTTAAAAAAATTGACACCTGGCCACGGAAATCTTTAGTAAAAGGCAAGAGATTTATCTGCAATTCCTAACCACCAGAAACCAAAAGTTTTTTTTTTTTTCCTAAAAATAGTGATAAGGGAAAATAAACCTAATTGACTTTGACGTCTAGGTCAAAGGCCAGCCAGCCAGCCAGCCAGCCAGCCAGCCAGCTAGCAATAAACGGACGGCAAACCTTAGAACAAGTTGTAATAAAACCCACCACTCCCAGATAAAAAGCAAAGGGTGAATAAAAAGGGTTCACAATTACTAGGGCTTCATATAACCTATGTTTGAACAATGGCTTGATAAGTTTTGTTTTGTTTTTAACACCCCGTGACCCGGTGATGACAACAACACTTAGCAGACAACATTGTTTTTTTTTTCGCCAGATATCTTTTGTATTTCCCATCGCCGGTCCATTTAGCCTTTCTTTTTATTCAATGATGTTCATGCCAAATGAAAGAGAAAGGAAATGAATTTTGAATGATGTTATTTTGAAGCGAAAATGAATATTTTTCATTAAAAAAAAGGGATTTTTCTCAGAAAATTGTGCATAATTTCTTAATGCTAACCGCCAGTGACATTTTCCACAGCCAAATCGAAGATTAATTACCAGTGAATAATTCCATGTGCAAAAAATAGCCGTCTGGATCCTATAAGGTCGCCCTAAAAGGTCCAGAAGTTTACTAATTGATCGAAAACCTGTTGCGCATAATTGTATTTTTTCACGGTCAGTTTCCATTATTTCATCTTGATATTATCATTTTCGGACAGCTAAGTCATCAAGGATTCAGGAAAACACTTTGACATAGGTTTTCTTTAAGAACTTTACATTCTATGAGGTGTTTAAAATGTTACTGACGAATGAGATTTTTTGCCGCATATTTCGTTTACGCGCCATGTTGGATTTTCCTATATGACAAAAACAAGGGTTTTAAACAGCTGTGGCACATGTGCACAATCAATAAATTATGAGAAATAAAAACGATTTAAAACCTCACAAACGACTTTCAGTCCTTTCCCATGTAAGTTTGGATAAAAACATGCAAAAGTTTTTTGTTAAAGATTTTTTAATTTTTTTTCTTCTGTTTTGAATCATTTTGCTGATTTTGAGAACATAATTTTTTCAATGTTTTTCAAATATTGCATTACCATGTGCATCATTGTTTTCGTTTTTAAAAATATTACATCTTCACATGACAGTTTGTGTTATTTTTATTGTTTTTTTCTTTTATTGATGGCACTGTAAAAAAAAAAAAAAAAAATACAAATCCTAGAAGTAATAATCACAAAATAACATAATAGCAATAACAATTGTATTGGATTTAGGAACAAACAATCTATATAATAAATACGGATGTTAGTCTGTCACACTTTTTCAAGGGACACAACTCTAACTTTCAATAGCTAATTTCAAATACCAAAATTACAGTTCTTAAATTATTGTTTCAAAATAAAACTCTTTGTGTTTTCAATTTTACTCCTAAAGGCCATAGCCCAATGTATATTATTTTGGAATCAGGCCAACTGTGTGAAAATTAAAAAAACATTTTGATCTGGATCCAGACCTGCAATTCTGAAGTTTTGGATTCTCAAGTTTTCATTACTAAGATGTTTTTTATGTGATTTTTTGCAACAAATGTTTTTCTATGATAATTTTTATAACTTGGAAATAAATTTGGGAATAATCAAAATTAATTGTGAAATCCAGCAAAAGTCACCCATGAAATAAAAATAATTGTTTGTATGGAAAGTAAGGACATCAAATTGTGTTATATAGGAATAAAGTGTCACTGCTGACACTGAAGTTTGAACACAGATCACCAGAGAGCAAACACATGTGATCTGATTTTGAATAAGTAGATCACGTGATAAGGGAAATGTATCTATGGGAATTAACGTGGTGATCACTATTCGGTGTTTACTTATCAAGCAAGTACTATTAGTGTGAGTGTTATTCAAAGGTGTCTGACACTAGTATTGTTCAACAGTTGTATCTGCAATTACAAAGTCTCTACTACAACAAGCATTACGAGAGTGACAAGTATTCGTTGACGTTACAAAAGTGGTAACAAGTTTTTGTTGACATCACAAAAAATTGTCTTTAAATTAAGTGATGGTAGAAGAATTATCGATGAATTTTTAAAAGGTAAGCTTAAAAATTAATGTAATAATTAATGCAGCAATCAATTTTGAGTTCTTCTGTAGTTTATTGTTGCCTATCGCATCTAAATCTCCCCATCTATTTTGATGAAGACCCAATCAAAAGTCCTCTGCAGGAGATAGTTTAAATGCCGTCCAATATGGCAGCTTTTAAGCTGGTCAAAAACAAAACCCAAAAAACTGTTATGTGAATATGCAATACTTAGAAACAAAAAAAAAAATCATGACAGATATGATATCTGAAAAATGATGAAACTGACAGAGGACAAGAAAAATAGAAAACTCTTTGATAATGATTTATGATAGCCGATAGAAAAAAAAAAAAAAGAGAAAAGAAATCTTTAACAGAGATTTATTTTTTTTATGGCTTAATCCTTTGTGGCTTATTTAAAGGTGAAACATTTTGGATTGTGATATTAAATTTTTTTTTTTTTCCATATAGCCATTAACAATTTTTTTGGAAATAATAATTTTTCTAGATAAGAGTCTTACTATTTAACCCATAAACGAAGGGAGAAAATATAAATTTATACCTTTCCCAAGGATAATTATGCAGAAGTGAATGTAATGAATGACTAGAATTTGGACTCCACTCTCTGATTTCTCATTCCAAGATACTATCCATTTTCCACTTACACATCCCTTTAACAGAGAACTATGTGTGTGTGTGTGTAAATATATATATATATATATATGTGTGTGTGTGTGTGTGTGTGTGTATATATATATATATATATGTGTGTGTATATGTGTGTTTGTATATATGTGTGTGTGTGTGTTTGTATATATATATATATATATGTGTGTGTGTGGGATCACTTGTTTTACACTTGTTACTGAGAATGAAGTTTTATGGTATACTAGCCAATATTTCCGAAAAAAAAATCTTTCCTAAGCTTGTACACCTGAAAAAAAAAAAAAAAAAAAAAAAAAAAACAAAAAAAAAAAAAAAAAAAAAACAAAAAAAAAAAAAAACTGGTGAATAGATTGATCGAAATTGCAGTGGTGACAACAAAAATAATAATAATAATGATAACTGTTGGAACGAGAATGATTTTTCAAAATTATAGAGAGTACCATTCCAAAATTTATCTAAACTAACAAAGTCATCCTCTTGTGGCTTCTATTTTCACAATGTTTCAACCATTTCATTCTACAGCCTTTTTCAAGTTAATAAACTCTGTATGAAAAGAAGGATGTTTCTGGTTTTTTTGAAATGTGATGACAATAAAAGCAACATTAAGAATGATATTAACAGCGGAGACAACCTTTGAATGTCTACAAAATCATCATCACCTTGCCTTTGATTTAAGTCTTCTGCTAATGAACCAAATGAAAAATAAAAATCCTTCACTTACATCTAATATTCAATACAGTTAATATCCGAAAATTCTGGCAATAGTCTTTTTATGGTCATAGCATTTAAGACACATACCAATTATGACTTAAAATTTTGAAAAAAAAAAACCCAAAAAACTTTCAGCCTTAAATTGTTTTGTTAGTACGACAAATTTAAAATCAACTTTTATATTTCAGGAACTCACCTCAAGAAAGTTCCTATTTTCTTGGTTATTTATTCAATTGTTTTCATTTAAATTTTTTTGGGGGGAGGGGGGATTTTTAATAATTTGTGAGTAAGGCAAGAATGAGGAGAAGATTCAAAGAATTAAAAGAGCTTTGTTTTGGCTAGACGGTTTTCCTTGTTCCTCGTTGAATAACGGTATATGCCTGTAACTTCCGGGGGTTCGGGAATATCCTTTTCAAAATAACTTAACTTGTCTTTTTTTTGGGATTTGCAGCTCAAAACGGGTTCAGGAATAATATCTGGAGAAAGCTGGGTGTCAAACTTGGATAAGGTGGTACGAAGAACAGGGGGTGATGGCGTGTCTAGGTTGCTTTTCACATAACGAGATGTCAATGGTGCTTCCAACTGAGTCTTGGGTTTATCGTTGATAGATGAAGGAGACGAGCGAAGCTGAATCTGCAATAATGAAAAAAGAAAATGTTAGTGCCGCATGTTGGGATCGTCTCCCCAGGCTGATATTATCAAGGTGGCAGCTCCTTGACAAATTGACCAGGATGAGATTCAAACCGACTCAACCACATTGACTCTGTAAATATTATATACATCTTGGTTATTTCTTTGTTTTTGTTCGTTTTAGTTTTTTATGGCTTATCAATGTTTTACAGGTTATTTAAAGCCAGAGAACATTTTTCCATTGTAAGAAATTTTTGGAGATGATGATGATGATTTATTGATACAAGTCATACTAATTTAACTCATATCAGGGAGAGAGAAGAGCTGGATTCATACCTTTCCTAATGGTATTTGCACTTAAGTGAATATAAAAAAACCTGACTTTGTTTATCTGATTTTCAATTCCATGCTGTTATCCATTAGACTACCTGCACATCCAAGTATTCCAAAGCTGTCATCCATCTTGGTACTGACCAACCTTGACATTGCTTAAATTCACATGAGAACCAGTGTTTTAATAAGCATTCGTTATTTCTGCTTTGGTGCCTCTCCTACAAGCCAGCTTCTTCTCTGGAACTGTTGCTTTGTGGTACAGACTCCTGAGAGGATACTTCCCCAAACACTACACTTTAAGTCCCGGGTTAATTGTCTGCCCTACATATACTCATAATATATACTTACTTCCTCTACTCTGCCTTTCAACAATCTCACTCAGTAACCCTCTACCTTGAGTGGCTGTGTGTGTGATACTGGTTCAGAATGAGAAATCAGAGACGAGTTAATTACATTCACTTATGCGGATATACACTTGGGAAAGGTAGGAATCCATCTCTTTGTCTCTTAGCTATGGGTTAAATAGCAGGATAGACATTGCTCTTTAGACTAGGTTGGCAACCAGTCTAGGATAAGGACAGCACTGAATTCAAAACCCATGTGTGTCATTTGTGTCACACTATATGCACTAGTTCTCTGTATTCGGTTCTCACAAAATTGTGCTTGGTTCTATGCAAAACTCCACCACTATAATCAAAACGTTATGTGTGGGTAGTCTGGTCATTCTGTTCTAAGAACGGAGCTGCTAAACCTTCGTACATTGAAGACAATAGGGAGGCTCCAATATATCTCCCTTGCTTTCTATTAAGCCACTAACATTAAATTGCTTTCATTATAAATGTCTTTGCTTTGAAACATCCTAACATTGACTTGTTGCCCACTGAATTACCTTGGATAGAAATGTGTAAAAAATGCATTCATTCAGTCCTCCTTAAGAACTAAACAAAAGTCATTTTTTTTTTTTTTTTTTTTTTTTTTTTTAGAAATTTACCTTTAAATTCAATCTTGGAGGCAAAGGTACTTCTTCTGTGAAATAATCTTTAGGTTTGCTAAACGCTGACCCTGGCGGTTTTAGAATGGCCAGTTTACTTGCTGATTTTGGAGTCGGGGGAAGTTGATATATATCGAGGTTAAAATTTTGTTGGTTGACTGTATTCAGAGACGGGACACTCGGGAGCTGGTTTAAGATGTCGTCATCATTATCTAACTCTGTTTGCAGGTTTTTACAGATCCTCTTTGAAATATTAAATGGAAAAGCACTCTTCTTAGCAGAAGAAGCAACAAATTCTGGCCAGCCAACTGTCTCCTGTGTTGTATCTAAGAGAAAGAATGAAAATGTCGAGTAAAGCACACATGCAAAATCTTTGTAATCATTTTGGCAACTTCTTCATTTCGGCAGGTTTATTCATCATTTTCCATAGGAAAAAAAAAAAAAAAAAAAAAAAAATGGTCAAAGAAATAAAATATATAAATAAAATGTATATTTGGGCAGCAACCTTTCTTTTAAACATGTTTTGTTGTCTATGACAGACAAGGAAAATTTTAATGAATTTTTTTATTTAGTTTTTCTAATATGCTTACATTTTTCCGTTTGGCGGGAGTAAGGGGGTGTAAAAATTGTCCATAGTGTCTATTGTCCCAAGTGCTTTTGGCCACTTTAGCCATTTTCAAGCTGTTAATTTCTTTTCATGGTTGTCACAAATGCGTCTTAAAAAAAAAACATAAAAAGAAACAAACAACACTTACAATTATTGTTTAAGTGTTGTTCATTTCTCTTTTTTTTTTTTTTTTTTGAAAAATGGCTAAAGAAGTGGCTGAAAGTGATGCAATGTGAGTCTTCTTGATAAGCATGTAGTGGTATACCCAATTGCTCAGGAATTTGTTTTAATCAGGAATGCATTTAAATTGATAAATTATTGATAATGAAGTTAACCATTTAAATTTTTTTATAATAGATAATTAACTTAATTTTCTTGTTCTGGGTTGTCTAATTCTTAAAAATGTTTTTAAGGGCAAATTAATCCTCCTTATAATTAATGTGTATTTGATTTTTATAGAAAATATTGATATTATTGTTTTTTATTTCTGTATGTTCAGTCTTCAGTAAGCAACATTTTTATGTTCACCCCATACAAGGCCCTGTAGTCACTCAAGGTAGAGGTTTACAGAATAAGAAGCAGACTTTATGATGACAGGGACAAGTGGGGAAGATAACAGTTAACCCTAGACTTAAACAGGTTAAGATTGTAGTCATTGGAGGAAACTTCCTCTTGGAAGTCACTCTCACAGAGCAGTGGTTTGCAGAAAGAAGCTGCTTCAGTGGAACATACTTCTCACCAATGGAATACAGAGGGAAAGAGGGTCACATTTGCTACAATATGAGTGGCATGGTGGGTCCTAGCCGTGAAGGTTAGTACTGGCAGAACCAAGGAATGCAATTCTTCCAGCACTTTCTATGGAAGTAGCAATAGAACATCTGCATCCTGTCTGTGAGATTGAGGGGGTTGCTGGATAGAAAATAATTTGTCATCCACAAAGACGATATCAAGACTGGAAAATGAGAACTAAGCAGCTCCTGCCCAAATATGGCAACCGTACTCCATCTTAGGCCTGATCTGGCAGAGGACAGCACGAGGAGTCAGGTACTTACTGGAGTGGTACAGTGAACCAACCATTTTCCATGTATCTTTAGCTATGGATCATATGTACAAGTTTCACTGGAGGTCTAGGTTTAGTTTAAGGCCCAATATCTCTCAAGGCATGGGGCTTCCCCAAGGGGACATCCACTCATCATGTCTGGTGGTAGTTAGGGGTCCGAATGGCCATAATGGAATGTTACTAGTTTGGTTTTCGAGACATTGAATGTAACCATCCAGTTTTTCCCCCCCACTAAGATGTTAGATCAAATGAGAGATCAGCTGCCAATCTCTGGGCATCACAAGTCTTGGAATGGCACCAACATATCGTCGTATCATCAGTGGCATAGATACCTGACAATACAGCAAACAATACTCTTCTTTGTATATTTTTTACTTTGAATGATTTTAAAAGCAGAATTCTTTATTACAGATGACAAGAATGTTAATTTTATCAATAAAACACCTAAAATTGCTTATGCAGACAATACCATCAATGCAATTACCAAATTATTTAAACATAGCCAACATTTTTTAAAGATACGGGCAAACTTGTTTTCTACGTGATGTGTTTAAGGAAAAATATATTTTTTTAAAAATATATATTATACTCACTTTTCACATCTGGGGTGTAGAGGGGTGGCATTTTACCCCAGACACTTGGTGACATCAGGAGACCATCGTGTTGAAAAACAGTTGGTGTAGCAATGCTAAAAAAATTTCAATAATTACAAAAGAAATTATAACAACATTAAATGTTTTGAATTATTATTATTATTTTGTACTAAATTTTACCCAGTACAAGACTCGAGAGCCACTCAAGGTAAACAATTATGATCAACAAAATGATAATACTGAATGAGGTGTGTGATATGAATAAAAGGTGGAAAGAAATGAAGGATCTATTTTTTTATTTACTAAATTTTACCCTATAAAAGGCCGAGAGCCTCTCAGAGTGGGGTGATTATAGTTGAAAAAGATGAATGAGGTGTGTGATATGAATCTAAGAGAAGGTGGGAAAAAATAAAGATTTCTTTTTATTAAATTTCATCCAATACAAAGCTCGAGAGTAACTCAAGGTAGAGAGTTACATTTGAAAAGATGAATGAGGTGTGTGATATGAATGAAAGAGGAGGTTGTAGGAGCATTTGCCATAAGCATTTTTGTTGTAGGAAAACTTGCCACAGGAATTTTCGCCATAGGAAACTTTGCTGTGTAGGATTTTTTCCCTTAAAATTTTGCTGCATTTTTTTTAATAGGCAAAGTACTTTGTTATCAAGTATATCTGGTTATTTCGATTTAAACATTTTAATAAGCGAAGTTATACTAACATTAGCACTCAAATTTGTGGAAACTAATTGCATATTTGAAAAAGGAAGAGACATTAACAAAAAAGCAAAAGTGTAATTTAGATTGAGGAGATACAATACAAATGAAGAAAATATATATTGATATCAATGCAAGACTTCAGTGGAAAATGCTTCATTACAGTCTAATGCAAAAAACATATTGCTTGGAATTTGTACACATTTTAAATTATTTCTTTGTTAATTTGATACATTTTTAGTCTTATTTTTAAATGTTTACTTTTTAATTTCTTTTGTGATGTTTGACTGTAAAAAAGACATCCATATATACTTGATAACAAGGTACTCCACATGTTAAATTGAACATTACTCCAAAAGGAACATTCAAGATAAGGGTATCGAAAAAAATAAATAAATAAATAAATGCAGCGAAATCGTCTTATGGCATAAATCCTATACAGCGAAGTTTCCTACAGCAAAAATTCCTGATGCAAATATCCTATACAGAAAAAGGAGGTGGTCAGAAGTGAAAGATTAAGAGTTAAGAAAGGAAAGATGATGATAGACCATTGACTATTTGTGTTTATTGTCTATCTGTTAAATACCTATCTGTTCACCTAATCCATGGCTCGAGAGCCACTCAAGGTAAAGGGTTTCAGTAATGCTGAATGAGGTATGTGATATGAATGTAAGAGAAGGTAGTATTTGAAAAAGGAAGAGACATTAACAAAAAAGAAAAAGTGTGATTTAGGTTGATGGTGATGCAATACAAATGATGAAAATATATAATTAAAGATTTGTTTTTATTAAATTTCATCCAATAGAAGGCTCAAGAACCACTCAAGGTAGAGTGTTACACTTGAAAAGGATGAATGATGTGTGCAGTATAAATGGAAGAGAAGGTGGTAGGAAGTGAAGATTATGAGGATGAAAGAATTGACCCTTGACTTGAAGAGGTCAAGATTATAGTGTTCAAGGAGGTAACCACATGAAAGTGTTCTGCAAAGTGGCAATTCTTTTTTTTTGAGGAGGGGGGGGGTCTGTCCGAGTGGAACTTTCTAATGGTGATTATGATAACATTATTTATACTCCAATATTTTAATAAATTTTTCAAAACCATTTAATCACTTAACAGATTCTACTATAATTTTCCTAGCGCCTGGAGATTACGTGAAGAATTCTCTTTCAAAGACTTTGTTAGGAGAAAGAAAAAAAATTTTCATGTCCCTGTTGGGTATTTTGAGCAGAAACCAAAAATATTCATCACTTGTTGTGCATTTGGTGAGGGTTACCTTTCATTTTTCTTTTTTTTTCTTTACTCTCATACATTTGACAACAACTGTACGGAGCAAAATGTCTTGTAGACCAACTATATATAACCTTGAATTTTGTTTTTACTGGATTTATTTTTGTGGTACCTCAGGAACTGATAACAATGATTATCTTCCTGGATATTTTTGAATATTTCATTTGAGGAACTTGTAGATTCCTTGAAAGTGACTAATAAATACAAAGCAGTGTGATGAATTGGAAAAACATTTACACTATTTACTTTCAGACTATTGTCTTCATTTTTGTTGTTATCAAAATGTTTCAGCCATTGTGCCCTCTGCTCTTCCTCAGACATATATAGATCTGGGTATCCTGCAGGGAATTCTGAACTGAACCCTTTATTTAATATACAAGGGAAAACTATTCTCATTCCACTGCTCATATCTAAGGATATTATATTATCCATTTTTTTTTTCAGATTATTTTATATCTCAAAATATTTGGTTTGATTTTCCAATTCTCATAATCATGATTTAGGATTAAAGATCCAAATCTCCAAAGAAAAAAACCAAAGATTTGAGAAACTCCGGCAATTATAGGTTAGCTCACTTCCTACACTTTTTTGAAAAATGTAATTTTAAAAGTTTTTTTTTTATTATTACAAATTTTTCTAAAAATTTTGGGTGAAGCATGCCTAGAAAATCTTCAGTTAGGTTATAGTCAGCCAAGTGATGACGGATGAAGAAATCTTAAAAGAAAGAATGGATGCAAAGCACCCTAACCTTAACAAACAGCAAATAGTTTCTAAAACATTGTCTAATAGTCAATCAACTTGAATATTCCCATATTTTTATAATCTTGTAATTATAAAACTCTAACAACTAAATAGTGTGTAATATTTTTGTTATTAAAATACTAGAAGTAGCATTTTAAAGTTGAGGGAGTAAATGGTAATAACAGAATCAAGAGAAACTGTCCTTTTGACAGACTGTTTAAAGATTGCAAAAAAATGTTCACATCACAAAACTTATCTAGTGGAAAAATAAAAAAAAAAAAAAAAAAAAAAATGGAATACTAAATATAGACAAAAATATTAAAAATTGTGATACAGAAAAATATTAAAAAAATAAGAAATATGGAATACAGAAAAAAATATTAAAAGAAAAAAGAAAATGGAATAAAGAAAAAATATTTAAAAATATTTAAAAAAAAGAATACCAAATAGAAAAAAATATTAAAAATCATAGAATACCAACTACAAAAGAAATATTGAAAAAATATTTAAAAAATGTAATACAAAAAAATATTAAAAACAAAAAAAAAAATAATGGAATACAGAAAAAAATATTAAAAGAAAAGGAATAACAAATATATAAAAAATATATAAAAAAAAGAATAACAGCTACAAATTAAAAAAACGGAATACCAACTACAAAAGAAATATTGAAAAAATATTTTTAAAAAATGTAATACAGAAAAAAATATTAAAACTAGAAAAAAATGGAATACAGAAAAAATATTAAAAAATATTTAAAAAAAAAAAAATACCAACTACAAAATATTAAAAAAAAGAAAAAAAAAGAATACCAACTACAAAATATTAAAAAAAAGAAAAAAAAAAGAATACCAACTACAAAATATTAAAAAAAAAAAAAAAAGAATACCAACTACAAAATATTAAAAAAAAGAAAAAAAAAAGAATACCAACTACAAAATATTAAAAAAAAGAAAAAAAAAAGAATACCAACTACAAAATATTAAAAAAAAAGAAAAAAAAAAGAATACCAACTACAAAAGAAATATTGAAAAAATATTAAAAGAAAACAAAAGACATTTATTACCATTCTGTTACAGGCCGATTCAAATACATCTTAGGTTTCTGCAACTGAAGCATTGTGTAATGACTCAATCCAAAATCTTCTAATTTGGGAGTTTCTGGAGATTCTCCATCAGCACAAACTTCTTTCGACATCTTTTCAGGAGAACTTCAGTTGCAGTTAAGGAGAAAAACATTTGTTAAAAAAAAAATAAAAATAAAGATTTCAATATTAAACAAAAGAGAAAATTCTTTGCAATCTTGGCTCTTTAGCATCTATAGGGCAAGCAGTCTAGGAGAAGGAAAACAGTGAAATCAAAACCAACTGGAAGAGTGATGTAGATGATGCTATTATATTAGTGTTGTCAATAAGTATGTTATGAATAGTGTCCGTTAGGTCTCTATAAATATTTAAATGAGATCTCATTGAGCTATGGTCAGAAAGGTGTAGAGTGAGTCTGCGTGTCAAACATGTTGTAGTATGGCCTATATAATTATTTACGAATTTTGTTTAACAAAAATAATACCTCATAAATATAGCCTAGGCTGTACCATTTACTAATAATTTTACTAATTACAAATTTTTCTTGATTTGTACTGCTAAAATTGGGGTGCATTTTATACAGCCATGTCTTATATGCCATCAAATATGGTAATCTTCAGTTTTTCCCTTGCTTCCCCCACCCAATCATTGCAGAAAAGTTATTTTGTATTCACTGTACTGTCTTAAGGTCTTGACTTGCAAGGAGGTGGAAGAAAAAAAAAAAAAAAAAAAAAAACAACATATTTGTAATATACAAGGCGGTGCTGAAAAATTCTTGGCCTGGCCCACTTCCCAAAAATCAGTATTTTAATAAACGAAAATCAGATTTGTGATTTTGGGAAGTGGGTTAGGCCGAGAATATTTTTGCAAGCTCTTGTACTTGAGGAAGGTTGGAGATCATACTGGTTGAAATCTAACAACTGAAACAACAAATGGTAAAGATTAAAGAGTGAGCTGAATAAGCAAAAGAAATATAAAATAAATAAAAATATAAAAAAAAGGATACACATTTTTTTCAATTGTGGATGTGGTAGTTTCAAGATCTTGTGTTCCATCATCTGTTTGTTTTATCTCGGAATTAGATTTTTCTACAAATAAAAGATAATTTTTTTTATCAGACAAAAATTTTCTTTCTGAATTTTTCGTATGAGTTTTTATCACTATTTACATTATTTATCCTCATCTCGTCATTATCACAACGTTTCGGTTATTGCATACTTCAGCCTTCATCAGGTGCTTGCCAATCCAGGTAACCTTTAGGGAATTTCTAACAGAAGCTAGTTTACAGTCATATCATGTTAAAACACCAGTTCTCACCCAATCACAAAGTTAAGCAATGTTGAGTCTGGGCAGTGCCTAAATGGGTGACCACTTGGGAATATCGGGGGTTATAAGATTGGCTGTGTGGGTGGTGTAATGGATAACACCTTGGAATGAGAAATAGGATAGTCGAATTTGTTACATTCACTTACATGCAAGGTATGAATCTATTCCTCCGCAAGCTATGAGTTAAATAGTAGGACTTGTATCTGAAAATCATTATCTCCCAAAAACTTATATTCATTTGAAAAAAAAAAAAAAAAAAATTCTTCATACAATCCCAAAATATGTTTCAACTTTAAATAACCTACAAAAGGTTGATAAACTATCTATAAAAAAAACCAAAAAAAAAAACGAAAACAAATCTAACGGAACCCTTTATTCAATTTATAGGGGTAAATTGTTCTCATTCCACTGTTCATGTCTGAAGACATCTTGTCTTTGGTTAGTTGTCCTTTTTATCAGTACCACTGAGTTATTGCAACTCCTGTTTCTGTTGAGTCTGTGTATATCTGCACTACCTGCCACAGGGATTGAACTCTCAATTCCTATGCCACCGAATTCACAAACCAAAGCATTAATCTTCTAGTCCATTGTCTCAAGGGACAATCCTGAGGCTAGAACTTGGAGCCATAAACCTAATGTTCTTATTGCCTCTTCTGCTGCTACAGCCTTGTTTGTCAAGCTTGCTTCCCTCTGCTACTGCTTCTCTTTCCTTTATATTGCCTTCCATACCAGTCTCCCCACCCTCGTCTATACCCCAGCATTACTGGTACATTATTTTATTTTTTCTTAATGGCTCTCACATGGTATTTATATCCAGACTAGGCCTACTGAGGAGGTAGTCATAGCTTAGCTTATTTTTTTTTCTTTTTAATCATTTCATCCTAAGCAAGGCAATAATGCCACTAAGACGCAAGTTACTGAATGTTATAAAATACGAGAAAAGTATACTATTAAGGAGAGAGTACAATAAAAGAACAAGAAGACAATGATTGATACAGCATTTAAATTTTTGAAGATCAATGTTGACTGGAAAGCAAGAAGCCTAAAGTGAGAAGTGCAATAGAAGAAACTGTTAGCATAGAACTTATGGTTACATCTCTTACCATTTCAACTGTAAAATGATGAGACCTTGCTGCCAATCTAGTACTGTGCTTAAAATCCATGTGTGTAAGTGAATATAACAAACCCAACTGGAATTTGAACTCGACCCACTGAATTCCAACTCTGGGCCATTATCCATCACTGCACATCCAAGCTTAGAGCACCTGATATTCCCAAGCGACCACTGATCTAGGTACTGACACCAGGCTTGATGTTGAATATAAGGATATATAATTTGAAACTAATACAGTATACTGTTTTTTATATATATATATATACACACACAGAGAAAAATTTACCAAGATTGGTTATTAAAACCCATTTTTTTAACGAAAATTTGTAATTCTGAAAAGTGTCTGGTCATGAGGGTATTGAATAGAAGATTGTGTATATGTATAAGGAAATGTTAAAGACTTACCATATGGAACATAACCGTATTGTTCCATGAATGTTTCTTGGGATTGTACAATTGCATTTTGTTGATCAATTACGTCTTCAGCCAAATCCAGAAAACTTTGAAACTTTACAAATGAAACCTCTTGCTCTTCATAAATTTGTTTGGCATCAACCTTAAAAAGATAAGGAAAGTAGTTTTGTTTTCTTTAAGCAAGTTGTTAAAAATATTCTGTGCAGAAAAACAAAACAAAAAACAAACCAAAAGGACCCCCCCCCCAAAAAAATCCCCAAAACACTAAAAAGAAATCAAAATACACAAACACACAAAAAATACATACAAAAACATAACAAAATACACACACACAAAGGACAAAATACACATGCACAGAAAATAAAGCAAAATACACACAAAACAAAACATAAAATACACACACAAAACATACACCAAAAAGCAAAACACAAAAATACACACACACCAGAAAACAATGCAACACAATATACACAAAACAACACATATGCATGCACACACCCCACCACAAAAAAAAAAAAATTAAAAAAAATGCAAAATTATTTAATGTATGCTATTTAGAAAGAAAATGTTTTGAACAAAATTGAAGGCAAAAAAAATTTACAAATTAAAACAAAACATTTTTAATTTCTCAAACTGTGATGATTAAGAATATCACTTTGTGAAATGGTCAAGTAGCAGTCATTGGTCAGTGTATTTTGGCCAGGGTGGCAGACCTGACCTATGTCATGAGAACACTCATGACATAGGTCAGGTCTGCCACCCTGGCCACCCGACATCATTATAGAACCATCAGCAACATTGTCTTGTTGACTACTGGGACACATTTCAGAATCAAATAGCTGTGTTGGTTGGAATGAAAGAGGTGGCTGCAATTTTTTTTTCTTTTTGAAGAATTTTCAGTAATGAAACTGTCTCAGATTGCTTACAGCCGAAATTAATAAGTGGATAGAAATTTCCAGAATATTTAATAAAAAGGGGTGTACCAGGCAAACATAAAAAAGAAGAAAATTGGTAAGAAAATGTCTCTGCATTTTACTAAGATATGTTCACGCCATTCAAAATACATTGGAAATTGTGCAATTTACAATATGATGAGAATGTATATAGATATTAAAATATGAACACACACACAAAAAAAAAATTCAGTTTTCATCAAAAGAGCGAGTGACATCAAAAAAGCTTTTGACAAGGTGTAGCACGGGGGTCTGCTACACAAACTCTCCAGCAGTGGAATTTCTGGGTGTTCTTGCAGTTGACAATCCCTCCCTATCAAGTAGATCCTTGAAGGTCGTCTATGACCAGGCTTCTGGAATCAATGAGCTTTATGCAGGCATCCCACAAGACGCATTCCTCAGTCCTGCTATCTTCCTGCTTTATATTAGTGAACCACCCACATTCCCTTCATATTCCATAGGGGAGATGTAAGTTCCACTTAAGCAGCTTCTTCCTGCCAACTACTGCTTTGTAGGACCAACTTCCAAGAGGATGATGCTTCCACAATCACTACAATCTTAACTTGTTCAAGTCTAGGATTAACCAGTTATCTTCCTAACATATCCCCATAAACAGTGCCTCTTACTCTGTAACTCTCTACCTCAAGCTGCTCTTGGGTCTTGTACAGAGTGAACATTATTGTAAAAAAAAAAAAAAAACTGCATGAGAATATTCTCAGATCTTTAGAAAATATCTATGCAGATGATACTATAGTGTATGAGTGCACCTCCCAAATTCTTGATGACCAGAGCCTGGCAGCTGATGTCTCATCTAACCAAATTAAAACAGCTCAATAGTTGGGGGGGGGGGGGGTAGAGAAGATCTGGCTAATTAAACTAGTGACTCTTCATCATCTAAATTCTCACCAGTTACATTAAATGGTTAGACTCGCAAAGAGTTTTCTTGTTTTGAGTGTCTCTTTAGGCTCGAGCTCAACCTAAACCTCATTGATAAAGATAGGAAAATTATTGGTTCCTTGACACTGATTCAGAAAATACCTGATTTGGCAAACATTAACCTTTGTGCATGCACCTCCCCACAAAAAAAAAAAAAAAAAAAAAAACTGTGTCAAAAGGACAGTTTTTTCCCTTTGCAATGACGTTCACCTTGTACAAGGCCCAAGAGCCACTCGAGGTGGAGGGTTACAGAGTAAATGGCAGCACCCCAAACAAGGAGATAATGCCACCAAGATGCAAAGGGGCCATAAGAAGTGATAGAGAAAAGGCTTTAGAAGTAATCAGAAACCCACTAAAGAGGAAACAAGGAATAAACCTCTACTCCTGAAAAGACCAAAGAGTAATATGAACTTGATGATATGCAAATCTATCAACTCCTACTGAGAAAAAAAAGAAAAGTAAATCAAATTTCAGAGTTATAGGTCAAGATGTTAGAATTATGTAGTTGAAGTAGACATTAGAAATAACCGGAAACCCAATCCTAAATGGGAAACAAAGGATAAGCTTTTACTCGTCATTCTTGACACCATTATTATTTCGTAATACCTTCACTGCCCCAGCAACGATTATTTAGAACATTATAAATATATGAAAACCAAGTGCAATGCAACAATTATTATTTACCATTTTATAAAGAAATAAATGTGAAAACAAATCTATTTCAAAAATTACAAAATTATCAAAGTGTATAATAAAAAAAAAAAATCTTCAATGCAATATTTATTATTTACCATTTTATAAATAACTGTAAAAACATGCTCTCATAATTTTATAAAAATATCAATGAATTATAAAACAAAATTTGAATAAACATGATTTTCTGGACATAATAAATTTTCTCTACAAATTATTTTATATCTAAGATTACTATTTTTTAAAATCGTAATCTTGAAGCATAGTGCAGTAATGGATAGTGGCTCGGATTGAGGAATCGGAGAGCAAAGTTCGAATTCCAGTCGAATACATTACATTAACATATGTTCTAAATAGCCTTAAGAAAGGTATGAATCCTCTTCATCCCCCCCCAGCTATGGGTAAATAGCAGGACAGACCGGGTTCTATAGACTTGGATGGCAACTGGTCCATTGCAGAAAGAAATGGCAACCTACTGCTGGAAAAAATTTTCCTCATCAATCATGTATTGAAAGATACATGATTGCCTAAACTTGTATCACACATGGCACATAATTGACTGAATCTTGAAATCCAAGGCCCGAAACTATAGCAATTATAGATTAGCCCCCTTCTACTCATTTTTGATAAATATAATTTTAAAAAAGTTAAAAAATTGTTGCTAATTTTTTAAAAATGCCTAAAAAATCAGCTGACAGATTTATTTAAATTTCTTTGCTCATAGATATCTTTATTATAAATTTAGGAATAAAAAAAAAATATTTTTCATATTTATTTCTTTATATATTGAGAAATAATAAACATTGCATTGTATTAGTTCATTTGCATTTTTAGAATGTTGTAAAATTATTCTTGCAATCTAATTCATAGTGTTTAACATTTTTGATCTAAATTTTCAAAGAACAAAGAAAATGTATGAATTTACTATCATATATTTGGGTTTTATTTTATTATAAAATTCTTAATCTTCACTTTTTAAAACAAACATTATTGAGGGAGTGATGGTAGTTAAAATAATAGAGGTGTGAAGAGAAAACTGTCCTTTTGATACACCATTCTATTGTGGGCACAAATGTTAAAGATTGACCCTGAATACCCCCTGCGATGTTTCATCTTTACAAGAGTCAGATCAGACAAAAAAAAAAAAAAAAGTACTGCTGCCATATCTGAATTGGAGCTGCTCAATCCTCTCTTTTCAGCCTCAACAGAATGCAAAAGTGTTTACATAGCCTTTTGGGTGATGAATTATTTTCCACCCTACAACCCCCAAGATGCAACATCACAAGCCTATCACTACTCTATTGTTATTTCCGTGAAAAATGTTCCGATCAACGATATTACATTGTTCCACCAGTTCAGACCTTTATAGCTAATACCCACCATGGTACGTACACAGAGTCAAATCATCCCCATTCCCTTTGTATTCCAATGGTAAGAAACATCTTCCTAAGAGTGGCTACTTTGGGATTTAGACTCCCAAGAGGATGTTTCTCTGACTACTGCAATTTTCAGGTCTAGGGTTAAGTGTTATCTACCCTTATCCTCATATAATCTGCAATTCTTAGGTCCATAAAGCAACTCTATACAGTAACCTTACCATGAACGGCTCTTGCGCCTTGTACTGAGTGATATAATGTGATAATAAAAATATGAAAGGGAGGGGTGCTGAAAATTATTTGCTCTACACATTCTCACTGTAGCTTTTACAATTGTACAGTGCCAATTAGCAGAATCTTTAAACTTGTTTTTGAATTTATTTCAGATCATTGACTTGAGCAGAAAGTCGACAATTTTCAAATGTTGAACTCTGGGCCATCCTCAAATTCTTTTTCCTATGTGATACTACGAACACCCACATGGAAAGGAAAAAAAGTGGTTTTATCGCAATCTCAAGTGTTTTTGTTTGATGTCTAACAGATGGTTATTTTGGAAGTTCAGTTTTCTAAGTGGTGTCCACTTTGACTGAAGGAAAATGGGAAGTAAAAAAAAAAGTGGGTGAGGGATTTTTGGAGATCAAGTGGCAATAAAACTGGAAATAGGGTATATCTGAGTGCTGGCCTGTATTAACAGTTATCCTTGGGATCGGGGAGAGTTTGGGTCTGCCCTTGGTGGGAGATGGGCTTGTCCGTCACATGGTTCCTGTGACAACCATTTGTATTGCCAAGCTACCACATCAGGGTGAGGAATTGGTACGGGAGAAGAGATATGCTGTTAGACCAACAAAGCAGAAATTGTCCCAAGTATCACCAATGGGATGAGCAGGTGAAGACCTGAATAAAAACAACTACATGTAATATGAGAAATAGAGTTAGTGTTCTTATGGTGTCTTGTTACCTTGTGAGCATGCAGTGGACCCTTTCCCAGCTTTCATTGCATACCAACGAGATTGAGAATTGAAATGCAATGTGGGGTAATCATTAGCCAGTTAGTGTAAAGCTGGAATGAGGATAGAGTCATATGTTCAAACCCAGAGAAGAAAACTTAAAAAAAAAAAATCCATCCTTATACAGGGAAACATTGGATGACAAGTTCTCGTCATACTATATCAGCTTCCAGCATG